TTTCTAATGGTTTAAGAGCTCACTTTTCTCCCCCTCTGGAAAGTTATGGGTGGTAGATCTTGAGCTCTCAAATCTCCCTGAGTTTTTTCTTTCTTCCTCTCCCGTCTCCCCACCAATTCCTTGCCTCTGTAACTTGGCCATTCTTTTCCTTAACTTTCCCAATTTTAATAGCTTAATCTCCCTAATTTCCTACAATCCTTGGTGTCCTAGGGCCCATAGATTACAACCATGAATTTAGATGTGAATTTGAGCTCCATTCATATGTCAGATCATGGAGGTGTAATTTACTGAACACATGTCCCTAACTAAGTGACTGGCGAGCAGGACCTTTTGCTTTAAACCTGAAGGTTACTTTTACATCTGTGGGACTTTATGCTAGTTCCATGATATTGGGCATCGTTTTTTTTTTTTTTAATAAATGAGATTGTCATTAGAGCTCAGAAGGTTAAAAGTGGAGAAAGCCTTGGAGCATCATGAGTCCTGAGAAGATAGTAATTACAATGTAAAGGGGATAAAAGGACAGACGGAGTAGCTAATTTAAAAAGACTTCCATTGTGTAAGTGACATATTCTCTTTGTAAATAATTTGGGAAATACCCAAGAATACAGTGAAGAAAGTAAAAAAACAAAATTACCCAACATTCATCACTCAGAAATGACCGTCATTAAGATTAGTTGAACATTAGTCTTTGCATGTGTTCAGGTAGAAGGGTGGATGTACAGTTTTATTGAAGAAGGATCGTGCCCTATATGGTGATTAAAGTATTTAATTTCATTTGAACATAACGATAAAAAATGTTAGGAATTACTAAGCTTTGAGAAAATGTTTGTAACAATATATATGATTTCCTAAAAGATCCCTTTGTGGTTAAGATAAAAAATGAAAACCTATGGAAAAACATTCACCTTGGAGTTATTTTTTACTTTGCAAGGTTCATAAGACTTTTATATAAATTTTTTGAAACTAATTCTCGGTTGTTTTATCTTTGTTTTATTAAACAGGGCTGTTCTGAAACCACATTTTGGTGAATGGAATCTATTTTAATAACCCAAGCGTTTATAGGGTCATCATAAAGTTCCTGTCAAGCTTTTACAAAAGTAGTATTTAAGAATAACTTTTAAAAATTTATTAAATTAATGTCTTCATTACGTGAAATACAAACATTACAAAAACATAGAATTTATATATTAGATTGCTGTTAATCCCACCTCAAAAGATAACTGCCATCAACTTTGTTGCATAGTTCTCCAATTTTTTATTTCCTATAGATATACCATATTTTAATGTAAAAATATGGTATATTTTGTTTACCAACTACAAAACGTTTTCATAAGCACAGCTATGCCAATTTTTTTTACATGTTCCTGTAAAAAAAAAAAAATTAGCATAGCACATTTATAGTATACCTATAGCATATGCTGTTTTACAATTTTCTTTTTTCATTTACCATTTACTCTTAGGGATTGTTCCATATTAGCGTATATATAGATAACCTCATCCTTTATAACAACTTTTCAGCATTTCTCTGTGTGCATCTACCATAGTTTATTGAAGCAACTTCATATTGATGGACATTTCCTTTATGTCTCTTTTTGTTGTTGTGATGATATTGATAGAGGCTAAAATGAGCATTGTTGGATATGTGTCTCTGGGTGCTTGTGGGAATGTTTTCATAGGATAAATGATAAGAAATGGAAATGGCAGGTCAATGGATATTTGATATTAACATTTAGAATTTTAAATATTACCAATATTAAATATTTCAATATTTTAAATATTAAAATATTAATATTTAAGTATTATCACGCCTTACTTTTTACTTTTTCTGTAAACAGTGCATTAGAATGCTAGATTCACCATATCCTCATCAACTCTGTACACATTTAAATTGTAATAACTTAGATAATGAAATTAAAAAAAATTTATTGTGATAAAATATATATAACATAAAATTTGCCATTATACCCATTTTTAAATGTACAGCTTAGTGACATTACACTCACAGTGTTGTGCAACCATCACCACCATCTATTTTGAAAACTTTTTCATCACCCCAAATGGAAACTCCGTACCCATTAAGCAGTAACTTCCCATTCTCCCCTTCTCCAACCCCTGGTAACCACTAATCTGCTTTCTGTTTCCATGCATTTGCCTATTCTAGATATTTCATTTAAGCAGTCATACAATATTTGTCCTTTTGTGTCTGACTTATTTCACTTAACAGTGTTTTCAAGGCTCATTCATGTCATAGCATGTATCAGAAATTGATTTCTCTTTACAGCTGAATAATATTGTACGTCTATAACATTTTATTGTATGTATATACCACATTTTGTTTATCCCTTTATCTGTTGGTGGACATTGGGTTGTTTCCACCTTTTGGCTATGTGAATAGTGCTGCACTGAACATTGGTGTACAAGTATCTGTTTGAGTCCCTGCTTTCAACTCTTTTGGGTATATACCTGGTGGTAGAGTTGCTGGGAGTAATTAAGTTTTGATATATAATGTAAGCAGCATTTAAAGGCAGATTGTCTTCATAATTTATGTGGATTTCAAATCTGTTCCCCACAAGACAGAGTTTTTCTTGGTAGTTGATCATTGCCTAATCCTTTAGAACAGTTTTCTTAGAGCAGCCGTTCTTTTATTTATCATAAGATCTGAAATACATTATGTATAATTCTGTATTATAATTATCCTAAATTTAAGTGCCATTTATAAATTTTCTGTCCTATTTAATCTCTTATTAAGATAAAGGGATATCCAAGAGCTTTATGGTGACAACCAGATAGATGTTATCATTTTAGCATGACATATAAGAAAGAATGATGTGATCCTTAATAAAAATCAGCCTGTGTAAAGCTGTAAAAAAATCGTGTTAATACCAATTGAAAGACATAGCTCTGTACAATAGTCAAGTCTTGATTTTTCTTTGCTTGTGGGCAACTGTAAAATATTCTTGCTACAGTCAAGTAAGCTCATTAGTGAATGTTATCTTACTGTGAATTTTCAAGAAATAGAAAAAAAATATTATGTTGCCAAGCCAAGTAAAATAAATTTGTATATCTGCTCTACTGCTTTTCTTTTGAGGTATTGATAATCATAATAACATCATTACTATTACCATGTAATTGCAGAGAAGGAACCCTAATTTAAGTTTAGGATAGTTATGATCAGGAAGCTCTCAAGTCACTTTTTTTTTTTAAAATTGTGGTGAAATATATATAACAAAACATTTGCTGTTTCAACCATTTTTATGTGACAATTCTGTGACATTAATTACATTCACAGTGTTGTGCAACCATCACTACTATCTGTTGCCAGATGTTTTCATTACCCTTAATGGAAACTGAGTGTCGCCTAAGAAATGATTCCCTTTTTCCTCCTCTCATCCACCCCTGGTATCCACTAATAAATTTTGGTATCTATGCATTTGCTTATTGTAGATATTTTATGTAAGTGGAATCATATAATATTTGCCCTTTTGTGTCTGGCTTATTTCACTCAGCATAATGTTTTCAAGGTTCATCCTTTCATAGCATGTATCAGAACTTAATTTCTCTTTATGTCTGAATGATTTTCCATTGTACGTATGCACCACGTTTCGTTTATCCATTCATGTGTTTCTGGGCACTTGGGTTGTTTCCACCTTTTGGCTGTTGTGATCGGTGCTGCAGTAAATATTAGTGTACAAGTACCTTTTTGTGTCCCTGCTTTGAGTCTTTAAGTGATTCATTCTGCTTAAAAAGGAGAGAAGTGTATGTTTTAGTAAGTTAATTTCAAATTTAAGATGCTTAAAATAGTGAGTGGATTTTCTAGGGAGGCAAAGTTTAATGCTTTATTTCTTTATAAATTGGATTAATTAAGATGATATTAGTGTTTTGTTTCTTAGCTCTGGCAAATGGTTATATAGATATTTGAATTAGATGACTAAAGGGAGGTTCTTGGATTATTGATATTATTTCAAATATCTTTGGTATTTTTCCTTAATTCGTTGCTGTCAAGTTGATTCCAACTCATAGCAACCCTATAAGAAAGAGTAGAACTGCCCCATAGGGTTTCCGAGGCTATAATCTTTATGGAAGCAGATTACCACGTCTTTCTCCCGTAGAGTGGCTGGTGGATTCTGTCAAACTTCTGGTTAGGAGTCAAGCGCTTAACCATCAAGCCGCCAGGGCTCCTTTCCTTATCCAGAGTAATCCATAATTATCTGCAAGAGTAATTAATATTATCTTTTAAATTATTATATTAAGTTCACTTTTATTTTTAACTAATTGCAGATTTCTTTCACCTATACAAATTAGTCAATTTGCCTTTTATATAGGCATAGTGTCCCAGAATACAAATATTTTTTAGTTATAAAATTAATAGATCTAATTACTGAATCATAAGTAAGTTTATGATTTTACTATGTATTTTTGCTGTTTGAAGGCTGCTTTTCTTTATTTACAAAACTAGTTCCATAGGAATTTAAATGAGCTTGTATAGGATATAGCTGATTTTTCCTTTTGCAAAGATTAATCCCATATAATCATTCTGAACTGCTGACATTTTAGCCCATATTCTTGATCATTTATTAATTTTTTAACAGTCTACAATTTTTTATTGAATATTCTATGCCAGTCATTATATAAAATATAATAACAGTACTGGGATAAAAGGTGGTACTTGCTCTGTGTCTGTGTGATTTAAAATTAAAAGTAAAATAAAACAAAAACCACACTAACATAAACACAAAAACTCCCAAATAACTTTTTTTCACCAAACAAATTGAAACTTTAGGTAGAATCATCTTTTTCAGATCTTTGGTGAATCACAAATAATTAAGAGGAGTTTATAGGATGTCAAGTTCATAATTTAACTAAATTTCTATTGTAGTATAATTATAGCCAGTGTCAAACATGTTGGTTTGTCTGTGGTCTAATGTTTTTACCAGCCAATTCAGTTTTATGATAAAAAGGGGTGAAGAGGGGTAAACTTGGTTAAGAAGGGAGAGGAGAGCGTTAAGGGAAGGAAGTTATGATGCTTTGTGGATCACATCTCTTTATTCTTATATACCAAAACATAACATTATATGTAAGTTATTTGTTTAATTTCTGTGTTCCACTGGATGGTTAAGAGCTTCGCATTCCTTCTGAAAAACCCTGTAGGAGTATATTAGCTTGTTTCTTTCAGAAGCATTTTGTTAAAAGTTGAAGTTGGTTAACAAGAATAGGAACAAAATCATTGATTATAGATTTTGATAGAAATAAACAGAGAAAAATTTCCTGAGATTTTCTGAAAATATTTGAAGGATGATATCCTTCTCCCTAGTATTATATTTACAAGTATTAAATATTTCAAAAAAAGTTAAGTGGAGATTACAGATGCTTTAAAAAGTATGTGTATAGATTTTTCAAAATGGTAGTGCCAAATAGAGGAGGTGAAAGAAAATAAGTAAAAAAGCAATCTACCTAAAGAAAAGTAGAATTTTTCCTGTTGTGAACTCAGTATTAAGCGTTTTGAAAAATGTGACTCATGATCTTGAACTACATCGAGTAGAGTCTCATTTCGACCTTGTATTTTGGCTAAGGATGTGTACTTGATTCCTAAATAATTATTCTGTTAGCCTGATTTGACAAAATGCTTACTGCTTAGACTTGCTTAACTAGCTAAAGAGAAACCTTCAAATTATTTCCCATTTTCCCTTACTTGCTTCGCTGTTTATAACTGTAGGATTTTCCACCTTTTGCTGCATTTCATGTTTAGCATTGAAGGACTTAGACTTTCATGCTCTGTAAAGTTAAATAAAGCCACCCTTTCAGTACTGCTATGTTAGCATTTTTTCTCTTAACGTAGCTGCCATTTACCTGAAGAACATGGTGACACAGTACTGGCCAGACCGAGAACCTCCACCAGGAGAAGCAATATTTCCATTCAACATTCATGAAAATGATCGCCAGCAGATACGTGATAACATTGTGGAAGGAATAATTCGGTCTCCGGATTTAGTGAGGTACATTATACTATATGATCAGTAGGAAGCACAAAATATTTGGCTCCTGGGTGGGGTTAGGGTTTTGAGGATCTAATCATTAGCTTCAAGTTTGTTGTTGTTTTTTAAGATATAAAGTAGTGAAAATGGGCACTCAGATAATATTCTTTTAATTATTTAGTCTTTGATTTGCAATTCTTTGCCTCAGTATATTTTGGACAAGATTTTGTTATTCTTTTCTCTGACACAGGGAGATTGACTTCTGGGAATTTTAACTTGCTACTTTTCTTAACCTCTTAATTATATTTTTATTCATTTTCATGAAATGAGTATCTTTTCCTTTGGAAAAGACAGGATAGAGTAGGTCCAAAATAGAAGAATTATCTCCAGTTTCTCAAATCCATAGGTGCTGTAAAGTAGCACTGTCCAATAGAACTTTCTACGGTGATGGAAATGCTTTTTATTCACGCTGCCCAATATTTAGCCACTAGCCTCGGGTAGCTATTAAGCACTTGAATTGTGGCTAGTGCAGTTGAGGAACTGAATTTTTAATTTATTTAATTTTGACTAATTTCAAGTGTGCATATGTGGCTAGTGAGTGTCCTATTGGACAGCACAGCTGTAGAGTCATGAAAATTTTGCAATCTTCAAATAGAAATAAATTCTTCTGTAGGTGAAATGGATGTAGGGGAATGAAATTGTTTAATGTCAGAGATTAGCTATAGCTGTAGCCTGAGTGTCTAATAGGCTTATGACATAAGTGGTAGGAAAGGAGGGAAATATGAAGGAAATGGTAACAGGAAGGAGAACTAACATTGAACTCTTCTTTGTGTGGTTATTCTATTATGTAAGAGGAGAAAACAGGTTTACTAATTAAAAAAATCATTTTTATTCTCAGTGGTTGCCCAAATACCAACCATGGCACTGGTACCCCTCCAGGCCATCATGTATTCTGATTCTTGTCAAAAATCCTTCTGTTTTCAGCTCTCCCTGAATCTTCCAATGATTCTACCCACTAATCCAGTAAATGATAATGATTTCTAGTTAGCAGGTTTCTCCTCCTTTCATAGCCATCTTTTCCTTGGCTTGGTATGAGAAAGGATTGGGAGAGAGAGTGGGAAGATGAAATTTTAAAATGTAAAGTTTTCATTTTATTGTACACAAGTATTTGTTGTTTAAACGAACAGTTGCTGATGACAAAGAGGAGAGCTTTATCTTTATCATGAGAAGTCTTTGTTGCTTTGTTTCTTTTATGTCCTTAAGAGTTAACTATAATCACTCTTGGAGAAACATTTTCTTTCCTATACTCAAAAGTTTAAGAGTATTGCAAAGAAAATTTTGAAAAAATTTAGTAACACAAGGAAAAGGCATTATTATGTTTATTTTACCAGTTTCAGTGAATCCAAGTTATTAGCTGTTCAACTGAACACACATATTTTTTGGTACTGTGGAATCCTAATTTAGCCAGATTCACTTTCTAACCATTTGCAAATGATCATGTAAGGACATATTTGGTAATAATATTGACAGTTTGTTGAAGAGAAATTATTTTTTCAATCCCAATTAGAATTGCGATCCCATGAGAAAATGATTACTAATCTAAGTGTTAGGAGATCACATCTTTTATCATGTAACTTTACAGTTTTATTAAAGGGATATTCTGTTTTTCTGTTTTGTCTTCCTGTTACTTTTAATTTTTGGAAACGGCTCTTTGCTTTCCTTTTCAGGACTTACCTAGCTAATGCTTATTTCTTATACTTAGAGTACAAAATCAGTATCTCAGACAGCTTTGATAGGTACAATATACTGTGTTGGCTGTTAACTAATAATGGATAGGTTCAAAGTTTTGGCCCACAGAGTTTTCCCACAGTTATGTGGGCCTCTGTTTTACTTACTTTTACTATCTGTAGGCTGATTGTCCAGCTGAAATAATACAATATTTTATTTGTCCCCCCCCTCCCTTATGATCCAAAAACAAAAACAAAAACCCATTGCCGTTGAATTGATTCCGACTTGTAGGGACCCTATAGGACAGAGTAGAACTGCCCCATAGGGTTTCCAAGGAGAACCTGGTGGATTCGAACTGGCAACATTTTGGTTAGCAGACAAACTCTTAACCACTACACCACCAGGGTTTCCCTTATGATAGGATAACCAAAATATAAAATAAGCTGGGAAATTTAGCAGAGCTCAGGTGGATTCATTGCCTTATGTTTTTTTTGAAAATTTTATGAATTTATTTTTAAATTCATTTTTTTTGAAAGGTGTATTTAGGGTAAGACAGAGTGAAGTTTTCATTCATTTAGGAAATCATCCATGCTGTTTATTTACAATAAGTTGAGTCATTGAGGTTTTTCTTTAGAGGAGCTGCTGTTTTTTTTTCCATCCTCAATACATACATAATGTGGGTAAAATAGTTAGAGTACTTATATTGTAAACTATTAAAGATCTTTGAAACCTGATATCTATAACTATTTACATTTTGGACCCCACCCACCACCCCCTATAGAGTCCAGTTAACGATGTGTCTCCGTGCCATCATTAAACATGATTTTCCTGGTCACTGGCCATCGGTAGTCGACAAGATAGACTATTACTTGCAATCACAGAGCAGTGGAAGCTGGCTTGGCAGTTTATTATGTCTGTATCAACTGGTGAAGACATATGAGTAAGTTGATTTCTATTGGCTGAATATACCAGCTTTGTGTTACATTGCATATAGGGTCTGTGCTAGGGGTGTTCTGTAGAATTGTATTACTTTAGGAAACATCGAGTTAAACACAGTTAAACATGTTTATTTACTGCAGTTATTCAAAGAACCTTTAATATGCTAATTTGCATTATTAATAACAGGAATGTAATATACAGAGCTTCTCAAAGTTATTTGATAGTTTCAGAGGACCATTTATTAACAGCTTTCATTGGAAATGCTGATAAAGAGGTACTTTAACGTTTGTCTTCTCGTGAGCAAGTTATTAAGTAAATCAAACATTTACCTTTTTGGATGCACGATAGAAAATGTTAAAGTTTCTTTGCTAGTGACATGCTTTTCCCACAAAAGCTGCTTGGCAGGTAGGGGATTCAGCATTACCTTTAATAGTGTCGCTTTCTGGTTTCAAAGAGCATGGCTACTTGTACATACAAAATCTTGTATTTTTCTTTCTTTTAAACTAATTAGTTCATACTGTATTTTAAGAATTTTGAGAGAATATTTTAGATTTATAGCAATTAAAGTGATCTAAGAGCACCAAAGTTTATAAACTATTTTAACTTCTCAATTTAGGATAGTGTAAGATTTCCCCATGTTGTATGTTATGCATTAAGAATGTCTATTTCAATTAGTATATATCAATCAACTTGTGTTTTATAGGAAGAATTGTGGTATGATGAAGACTAACTTAAGTACCAGAAAAATTCATGTAGGAAAGCTACAAAATAGTCTTGGATTCTTTTAAAACTAGTGTAAATTTTTCTAGGAAGATTTTAGATATTTTGTCGAAACTAGGGATTGCCCTTTCAAAGTTTCTTCCAACTTTATTCTAGTAATCGTAACAGAAAATGTAAGCTAATGTTTTGAATCTCTTTGTTAACTTTGTATAGTTTTAAAAATACACACGTATATATATTTCCCTCCATTTATTGTTTATACCTGTTTTGGGGGGGAAAAATTATTTTTCTGTCTCTTTTTGTCTTCGCTCATATAGATACAAGAAAGTAGAGGAAAGAGAACCCCTTATAGCAGCAATGCATGTATTTCTGCCTCGTATTCAACAGCAAATCATCCAGCTCCTTCCTGATTCCTCCCATTATTCTGTGTTACTACAGAAACAGATTCTGAAAATCTTTTACGCATTTGTTCAGGTAAGTTTCTATAGCAGAAGACAAATATGGATCTTGTATTTCCACCTGACACATGGAAGGTGCTCAGTAAGTATCAGCTATTATTGACTATTATTATGTATTCTCATGGCCTATAAAACCCTCATCTCTCTGGCTTCATCTTTTACCATTAATACCTTTGTGCTTTACACTCCAGCAATACTGAAATTCTGTCAGCTTCATGAACAGACCCTCTCTCCCTTCTGAGGTTTTACAAATATTATACTTCTTCCTGGAACACCCTTTTTCCCCCTTTATGGCCTGGCCAATTTGTACTCATTCTCCATGTCTCTGCTTGCACATCATTTCTTCTGGGAAGTTATGCCTTTATTTCCAAGTTGGATTAGATACCCCTTCTGTGTGTTTTATCAACATTATACTAGTTTTATCTATGTTGTTTAACATACCATATTATAATTCCTTGTTTATATGTGTTTTTTCTCAGCTAGAGTGTAAACTTCATGAGGGCAGAAATCATGTCTGTCTTATTATGTCCCTAGCATATAGCACATTTGTGTAATGAATGGATGCAGAGGCACTATACCTCACCTCCTGCAGCTCATAACGATGCAGACACACACCTGTATAATACAAAAATGGACTCTTGTATTATGCCACAGTATAGGGGAAAGTAACTGAAAAAATATTTCATGAATAGCAGTACTCTGTTTAATGAGGTAAAGAATTTTATGAAAGTGGTTAAAATTAAAGTGTGATACACCAAGGGGTAAATTGGTAAAAATCATTTATCTAGAATCTCATACTGAATAAATGAGACCTTACTGTATTGATTTTTTTTTTTTTTATTTAAAAGATTAGCCCAGAGAAACAAGTCAGATATTTCAGAGTAAAAAGCCCTCTTTTAGCACGTCATGCCTGAAATCACTACAAAATTCTCACCTCTTCCCCCAACCTCAGTGAAGTTTGACATTTCTATTTCTAGATTTACAAATTTTAATGTACGTATATGTACTTATGGATCTGTTTTAAGCTTAATTTTACATTGAGCTATATGAAATTGCTGTTTTCATGTATTTCAGCTTTACAGTATAGATAAAATTGCTAATCTTTTTTGGAGAAGAGGAAATATTGTTTATGTTGTTGTTCTTCTGTTTTCCAGTATGCATTGCCTCTTCAGCTGATGAATAACCAAACCATGACAGAATGGATGGAGATCTTTCGAACCATTATTGACAGAACAGTTCCTCCTGTAAGAAAGGGCCCCTGTTCCTAAGGAAAACTGGTGAAACTTGGGTTTGGGATATTTGTGGTAGACCGATTTATCATCTTAGCCTGTTTGGAAAACCACTACTGTAATAAAAGTAATTGATAATACATACTCATTTTTAGAAAGTTTAGATGAGCAAAAATAATAACTGTATAATTCTACTAAAAATGGTGATAACCATTTTTAAGACTTGGCATTTATTCCTGTAGTCTTTTTTCCCCTGCATCT